GGACCTCCTCTCCTGCCTGTTCCACCACCCTGTTCCACTTACTCAGACGACAATGAGAAAAGTGAGAGATAGAGGAGAAGAGAGAGAAAAGGAGAAAGAGATCAAGAGGGTGTTGATGTGGGTCATCCTGACATGTGGGACCCACGCTAACTCAACCATTACGTTGGATAAAACTGTTGTCAATACCGTCTAAGGATCTTAAGTGACCGGTTTTTTAAGTTGAGAGATGCCATATATCTAATTTTTCGATTGAGAGATGATTTGGTAGTTCGGTGACAGATGAGGGACCTCGTATGTACTTTTTCCTGCTGAAAATATGTGAATTGGACCTGAACGATATCGTATTGGGATTTAGACGCGGGTGGTTGAATGGGCTGAATCACTATGCAACGTACGCAACGTGCCGTATGCCGCCTCACGGTTCCGAACCTCTCCACCATGTTGGATCCTGGGAAGCCCACACACGATGGCTTACAAACCAACTTGCAAGTTGCAACAAAAGTTACGTACCCAGCATCGCTGCGACGCGCTCCTCTGCGCACCGGCCAGTCACCAAGCGGTCGTCGCCAGTCGGCTGCAGCAAGCGTTCGCAGCTTGGCCGGGACAACCGAAGGCCGTATGGTGTCAAACGCCTCGGACACCCGCGCGCAGCTCCGCTAGCACGTACCCCACGCATGAGTGAACCACCACCCGGTCGTCCGTGTTATGCCAAACGCAAGAGGCAGCCGCACGTCCGCACCCCTCGCCGCGAGAACCGATCGATCGATCGATGCCAAGCACTTGCCGTTTCTTCGAAGGAGCGCTCAAAAGGCAGCAGGCGATGCGCCCCGCCCGGTTTGCGCCATCTACGCCATGCCAGATTGCCGATGCGCGTGTATTAATCAACGGAAGGGAGCGACGGATCGAGCTAGCGCCAATGCAAAGTAAAGAACGAGACGATCGCAGAGCATGGAATTGATATATATCTGGGGAATGAAATCGCGGCATCATGCCGTGACAGAGTTATAATAATGAAATCAAGGGCGCCAATCCTGGTCTTTAATCCTGACGGTAATAAGTAAAAGAATCGCGACGGAATACAACGCAACCATGTATGTAGGCATGCTTCTTATCCGATCCTGCAAGGAATTGGAAAGAGTTTCCCAGTGAAAGTCCTTGACGGACCGTGCGAGAGGAAGATCCACTGCCTACAGATACGGAACTGCCTCCGTGGTTACAGATTCATAGCCGCATGTTTTTCTATTTACCTAGCTGTTCTCGTGGCATGCATGTTTAGCTCGATCGGCCGTCGAGTCGTCGACCACCACGACGAGCATCTCTTCTGCATCTTGCGAGCATATGGCCTCTCTCGATGCTGTCCTGCGTTCAGATAGCGTCTTCCTATAGCTCCCTGCAGGTACGTAGCAGCACTACTACGCCGCCTGTACATGTTCCTTTTTCCTACCTAATCAAATGCAGCAAAATCTTGTTCTTCGTTTTTACATATTTGCTAGAAAATTTGATTCCCTTCGTGTATGTGCGTGAGCGTGATATATATACATGACGGCAAGGCATTTTGTTTTTAGGTTTACTTACTAGTTTTTTATGTGGCGTGTTCTAATGGCCTCACTCAAATACTGTAGTTGAACTCATGGCACTAACAGAAAAGTTTTGTTGGATTAGCCTCATGTGGATTTCGGTTCACCACGGGTGCAGAGCCGCAAAGTCTACTTCTCTAGTCGGCCGGCCTATATACTTTTAGTAAGTGCTGAAATCCTGAAATTAGAAAAGTGAACATTAATAGCTCTCGTACTATATACTCCCCCGTCTCATTTTTAATTGAGTCCAGTTGTAAGTTTACGTGTTCAATATTTAACCATCTACTCCCTCCGTCCTATAATATAGCACCCTAGTACCAAACGAGATACTTGAACGAGATACTTCATAGTACAACGAAACATGACATATTTCATGTCCAGATTCGTTGTACTATGAAGTGTCTCGTTCGGTACTAGGTTGCTATATTATGGGACATAGGGAGTATCTAATTTAAAAATTTTTTATAACTAATATTTTTATTATTATTAGATGATAAAACATGAATAGTAGTTTATGTGTGACTTACTTTTTTAAAATTTTTTAAATAAAACGTACAGTCAAACGTTGACCACGAAAATCCACTATACTTAAGATAGGATTGGAGGGAGTATATAGTATTACCTATGTCCCATAATAGATGTCGCTTTAACTTTTTGCTTGTAACATTTGATCATTCGTTTAATTTGAAAAATTAGTATAAATATAAGAAAAGATAAGTCATAATTAAAATACTTTTAATAATAAAACAAGTCACAAACAAAATAAATAATAATTCTAATTATTTTTAATAAGATAAATAATTAAATATTAAAAACTCAAAGCGACAAGTAATATGAGATGGTGGTAGTACGATGCTAGAGTACTACAGTAAACACATTATCAGGAACAGTCCCGTGCAAAGCTGGTACGTCCTGGTGCCAACCATGGGGGGTACATACATATAGGCCATACGAAAGTCTGAATTTGGCTTAGTTTCTGTTCATGAAGGTATCGTCAATGTTGCAGAGCGTATATGTATGAAAACAGACCATTTATTGGAGGGACACCATCCTTGGCAAGTTATAATTAACCATTGGTTTCGTCTCTATCATGATTAAGCCCCCTCACGTACTATCATCAGTACGCGACCTGAATATAACATCAATATATGACTTTGTATGATGTCAACTGTAAGAGCTACTACATATATATATTTTATATTATACAGTACAACGCACTCATAATGCACGTGCACTTACCTCTATAAACACACGCACGCAAATTCTATTTCAAAGACTAGGCCGGTAAATCCTTGAGATAACTTGTGTGTTTGCATGAACTATTTATTTTATATACTGTGCATAAGTGTATATCTTGCTTTAGAGTCATCAAGATCAAAACGATTTAGTTTAATTACAATATTAGTATTGAATACACTATAATACTTAATTATTTGCTGCCTTTTATCTTCTTAATTTAGTAATTATTAAATACATTCATTAATAAATACAAGGTTGTACTTGTCATGAAGTCTTAATGAATTTTTGAATTTAGAATTAATAATACGTAGCTGCACTCGGTTTGGAATCTTAATTTAGTTTTTTCTTGATATAATAATTTCAAAATTTAGAAGCAATACATTTTATATTACCAATTTAAGAAATTTGAAACTAAAAATTAATTGGCACCCAGTTATACATCGTAACTGGTGTTGAGTTTTCTTCTAATATCATACTACCAGTTTTTAATAAGTAACACCATTAACTTTTTGACACATGTTTAATCATTCGCCTTTTAAAGAAAAGTTTACATAATTATCGGTATTTATTTTGTTTATAATTTGGTTTTAGCTATAAAAGATTGCCAGATTTATTTATTATTTTACAGTGCCGATTAGCGCTACAACACCAGGAAATTTACTACAGTGTGCTGCATATCAGCATATATATGTGTACATTAAGGACTTAGGAAAAGTTTTGGGTTTGGCTATCACATCGGATATACGGACACACATTTAAAGTATTAAACGTAGTCTAATAACAAAATAAATTACAGATTCTGCCAGGAAACTGTGAGATGAATTTACTAAGCCTAATTAATCCGTTATTAGCAAATGTTTACTGTAGCACCATATTGTCAAATCATGACGCAATTAGGCTTAAAAGATTCGTCTCGCAATTTACATGCAATATGTGTAATTGGTTTTTTTTTCTTACATTTAATACTCCATACATGTGTCGTAACATTCGATGTGACAGCATGAAAATTTTTGTTTTGGAAACTAAACAGGGCCTAAGGTTACCCTTTCTCTCTCCCTTTATGGAAACTACCAAGAACGAAGAGCTAGCTAGATATCTCACTAATAGCTAGCTATATCATACCTATAGTTCTTGACCCAATTATTGCTCAAAAGAAAATATTATCTCTATGTTTTATTGACCATAATCTCCACCATTGCTAAAATTTTAGTCCAATTATTAAAGTTACAAAAGAAGGCACTGATGCTTCTCAAATCAACGCGGATAACATTGTCTGAGAAGCGAAGTTGGAACCTATCCAAGGTTTTCCATATGAGTTTAGGCACCGATCTATAACCGCTAACCGCTAGTCTATGATTTTGTTTTTCATTATCTGAAAAAATGATTTTAAAATGATTTTGCTGTTGATTGTCATAACCTAGTGGTTTTTTTTATAGAAGTAATAACCGATCATTTTATTTTGAAAACTAGTAAGTCTCAAACCATTTTGTCCAAAAAATTTTAGTACAATTAAGAAAACCTTGTTTGAACTATTGAGCGGTTTCTAAATGCAATGCCCCTTGTATGACTGGTTATTGTGATAAATGACTGGTTATGTCGATACTGTAAGAGAAAATCCAAAATATACTATTGACAAACAACCAATTATAAAAAATACTATCGATAAGTGTGAGTTTTATAAAATGTCATTGCCTAAGTGACTTTGTAATAGAAATGTCATCGTCGTTAAGGTTATGTCCCGCTCCATTAAATGTATTGTTTATCCTATAGCACTTGACAGGGGTTGCTAACGGAACATTAACGACGATGATATTTCTGAGATAAAGTTACTTGTATAATGGTATACATTAAACACATATTTAATGTAACTCGTACTTTTTGAAATTAGGCGCTTGTAAATGCCATTTATCGGATTTTCTATATTATAAACCCTGATCCTAACTCTAGTGGATTCCTGATTAGTGGACTGTGGCACACACCCTTTCAAAACTTTTGGTTTGAACTCTTTCCTCGCTTGGTCGTATCCTGCAGATTTGAGCCCACGTCAAAAGCTAGATCACCAACTTGACGAGGTAACAAAGGAGAGAGCACGCAGAGTCAGTATATAATATAGGCATAGCCAGCAGAATGGCAAGACAAAGCAGCACTGCAGGGGCATCCATACTACCGGTGACGAATATCGGCATGGCCGCCTCCAGAAGCGAGCTTCTCCGGCCGGCATTCGGCGAGCCCTCTCCTTCGCTAGGACCATTCGTCGTTAACCCTCACACCTGCAGCTACAGGTGATCGAACAACCTGCATCCATTATACATCGATCACGAACTGAACTGAACTGAACTCTTGTACATCGATCGGTCTGGTTTGAGTGGTCCACTCCAGGTGGTGGCAGAAGTTCCTGATCGTGCTGGTGCTGTACACGGCGTGGGCGTCGCCGTTCGAGCTGGCCATGGAGAAGTCGGCCTCGGCCGCGCTCGCCGTCACGGAGCTGGTGGTCGACGCCTTCTTCGCCGTCGACATTGCCGTCTCCTTCTTCGTGGCGTACCGCGACGCCTCCACCGGCCTCCTCGTAACCGACCGCAAGAAGATCGCCACCAGGTATACGTGATGCTGATCCGTCACTGCATGTCCATTTTTTTTTCCTTTTTGCTGCTCTCTCTATTTTAGGTTGTAAGACGTTTTTACTTTAATCAAAGTTAAACTGCTTTAAGTTGATTAAATTTGTAGGAAAAAGTAGGAATATTTTTAACCCAAGACAAATTTATTATAAAAATATATTCAATTATTAATTTGATGAAACTAATTTAGTATTATATATATTACTATATTTGTCTATAAACTTAGTTAAACTAGTTTGATTTTAACCAAAGTTAAAACATTTTATAACCTGAAAACCTGAAATGGAGGGAGTATCTCCGTCAGAGAGTTCAATATTTATCGATGGACTTGCATTTTTAGGCACCTGGCACGACCATGCTTGGCGCTGGATGTCGCCTCAACGATTCCTTTACAGATGATCTACCGGATAGTGAGCGGCAAAAGACAAGCATTGTATGGGTTGCTCAATCTTCTCCGGCTCTGGCGATTACGGCGCGTCAGCAAGCTCTTTGCAAGGTAAATACTCCACATCCAATGGACGATCTCGGTCAAATAGATTGTGTGTGAGTTCATAACTTCATATACGCACGAATGATTAGTACGTGAGTGTGCAGTACTTTGTGTGAGTGTGTATTGCAGACTTGTAGAGTTGTGATCAAGTACGTATGGCTTTTTGTACGCAGCATGATTTAATTAGCTCCTTTGAAATATAGGATTCTCAAAACATAGGAATAGGAAAAAATATAAGATTTGAATATCATGCTCTTGTAAAACCTATAGGATTTCAAAACACAGGAATACCAGAACTAGTGCCTTCGAATAATTCACATGAAATAAAATATAGGAATTCTAGAGGAAATTTATTTGAGTGAGAGAGAGAGAGAGAGTAGAGAGAGAAAGGAAGAGAGTGCTTATTTTCCTTTGAAATGAGGCATAGGAAATTAAATCTATAGGATTTTCAAAGTTGTAGTATTCTTTCAATCGAAAGGACACTATAGGAATAGAATCCTAAGGATTTGGATCCTTTGCAAATCCAAAAAGAAACCCTCCAAATCCAAAGGAGGCCTTAGCACTACTGGCCTGACTTATAAGGTAATTTATTATCATAGTACTCCCACCATTTTCAAATATAAACATTTCTTGGATTTAAATTTTGTACATAATATATGCATTTATAAGCATTTGTATATACTAACTAAAGGTTGTGTTCGCCAATTCGAGTTGAGAACTCTTCCACCATTGGACACAAAACGAAACGACGGTTTAGTGCGTGATTAATTAAGTATGAGCAAAAAACTTGAAAATGAATTAATATGATTTTTTAAAACAATTTTTCTATAGAATTTTTTTTTAAAAAAATGCAGCGTTTAACATTTTGGGAAGCGTGCGCGTGAAAAACAAGGAAGATGAAGTTGGGACAATAGATTAAAGAATATAGCCTAATTGTGCCATCGTTCACGTCATTCAAATTCCTTTCTATTTTAATACCCCCTCCCACTCTCGCACTCCTATCAATCTCTCATTTAATGACGAGCAATATATATTTTCTTAATCTTAATATCTGCTAAATAACCTAGAAATTCTTATGTCTTTGGAAGAACGGAGAGTACCTTCTTTCATGATATCAACCTTGTAAGTGAGTGGACCAAGAGACTTTTCTTTCTTTGTCTTTATCTTCAGTGCGAGTGTGGGGGAAAAGAGCTCGTTTAAGTGGCTTGGTTTATAATTGCTGTAGCTCCGAGCCTCCGATTGATCAGTTTTTTTAAGCTAAAATTATTCAAAAATTTGTCAGTTCCCTAGCTCTTAACAAAAAATTGTCTTAAATAATTCAGAAAAATACAATAAATAAATTTCTAGAAAGCTTGGCCGCCTCAATTTCCATCCCTGTAGTACAGTAGTAGTGCAGATACACTACGTGACTTTGAGTTGGTAGCATGATTCACCAATGGGTGGCATGTAATGCTATATGAATAACTACAGTATGCATATGTGATCATCATTCATCAATGACCGATATGAAATTCTGAATCTTGCAGGTTGGAGAAGGACATTAGATTCAGTTACTTGTGGACCAGGCTTATCAAGCTCCTCTACGTAAGGCCACGCCGTTCCACCCGGAGTACTATATTTCGGCAGAGTTCATACAAATAACTTGCTACGAAATCTTGTGTGCTCATGATTGCAATGCAGGTGACGCTGTTCGCAGTGCACTTCGCCTCGTGCATCTACCTGTGGATGGCGTTCCACCACAAGGCGAAGGAGCTGACGTGGATCGGCAGCCAGTTCCACGGCTTCGAGGACCGCAGCGTGTGGTTCTGCTACACCTGCGCCGTGTACTGGTCCATCACCACGCTCGCCACCGTCGGCTACGGCGACCTGCACGCCGCCAACACGGGCGAGATGTTGTTCAGCATCGCCTTCATGCTCTTCAACATGGGCCTCACCTCCTACATCATCGGCAACATCACCAACCTCGTCGTCCACGAAACCACCAACACCTTCAAGATGGTAAATATTGGCAAAACCTGATCATGGTTTTCTTTTCTTTTGACACGGATTGGTGATCATGGCATTGTGTGCAGAGGGACATGGTGCAGAGGACGTCGGTGTTCGGGAGAACGAACCGGCTGCCGGTGGCGATGAGGGAGCAGATGATGGAAAGCCTGCAGCTCAGGTTCAGGGCGGAGGAGCAGCTGCAGCAGGAGATGCTGTCCGAGCTGCCCAAGGCCGTGCGGTCAGGCATCGCGCAGCACATGTTCAGAGGGGCGGTCCAGAGCTGCTACCTGTTCCAGGGCGTCTCCGACAAGCTCGTCCTGCCGCTGGTAATTGAACACGCAGTAGCAAACGCCTTGGTCGGAATAGCTCTGCGTTTACCGGTTGGGTGACTGACTAAATAACGTGGTAAATTCAGGTCGCGGAGATGAAGGCAGAGTCATTTCCCCCCAAGGCGGATATCATCCTGGAGAACGAGGCTTCGACGGACTGCTACATCATCGTGTCTGGTGAAGTGGTAAGAACATGCCTCGTGTGACGTTTGTTCTCTTCGCTGTTCATGCTCTGACAACCTGCATTTCTCTTAATCTTTTATTTTGTATCAGGAGGTATTGACAACCCTTGAGGATGGTACAGAGAAGGTAAAGCACACGAGAACCCAGTTGACGCACTTAGTATATCAGTTATACCATTTCAAGCTTAGGGTGTGTTTAGATTCTAAAATTTTTTGGTAAAAAAAGTCACATCAAATGTTTGGACACATGCATGGAGCATTAAATGTGGGCGAAAAAAACCAATTGCACAGTTTACATGTAAATTGCGAGACGAATCTTTTGAGTCTAATTGCGCCATGATTTGACAATATGATGCTACAGTAAACATTTGATAATAACAGATTAATTAGACTTAATAAATTCATCTTGCAGTTTACAGACGGAATCTGTAATTTATTTTATTATTAGTCTACGTTTAATACTTCAAGTGTATCCGTATATTTAAAAAAAATTTGGCCAAAGAACGAAACACGGCCTTACTCTTCTCAGTATACTGAACTTTTTCCGGCATTTGCATACTGACCTGAAAAGGTTCTGATCAAAATTGTGACATTTCAGCAAGTGATGAGAATAGGGCCACGGGGAATGGCAGGGGAAATTGGGGTGATGTTCAACATCCCACAGCCGTTCACCATCCGGAGCAGAAAGCTCACGCAGCTCGTCCGTATAAGCCACAGCCATATGGTCTCGACCATCCGGCCTAACACTGCAGATGGGGTCGTTGTATTCTCCAATTTTGTTCTGGTATTTGATTTTATTCAAGAATGCAATATAGATATTTTTTTCTCAGTTCACAATTTCTCACAACGTTTTTCAGTACCTTGAATCTCTGAAGGTGAAGGCAAAGGAAACAGCCTTTGTTAGGGATCATCTTCGCAATGGCTACTCCACGGTATTAGGAAGTGCAACCATGTTTGATGTAGATGAATCCAAAGAGTCAGCTCACAAAATGTTGCCATGCAAAGAACCCAAACGGGTATCTATTCATGAACACCTCTTAAATGGGACTGGCACAGCACTGAACGGCTCATCTGGGAAGCTCGTCATACTGCCAGATTCTATGCAAGATCTGATGAAACTTTCAGGTATGTAAATTGTGCTCTGCATAAAGATTAACATCGTCAGATGTTCAGATCAAGCAACAGATTTATCATCGTTGTGAATGGATACCCCTTTGCAGAAAAGAAGTTTGGGAAGGCAGCGAGAGGGATTCTCACCGTGGGAGGTGCCGAGGTAGAGGACATTGAAGTGATAAGAGATGGCGATCACCTGTTCTTTAGTTGGTAGGATAAGCCATATTGCCTTGGCAGAACATTATTTAGAGAACACTTACTCTCTCAACAATTTTTTTTTCTTGAGAGCGTACTAATGTGCTCCTGCAGAAGAATTGTATTTTCACATGGTGATTCTAGGCACTCTTCTCGATCTTGCAGTAGCCTACGTTGCGTACTTTGAAAATGATACTAATAACTGAATGAGACTCAACCTATAGTTGAGAGACCTAAATGCTAAAATTGACCTTTTTCCCGATTCCATGGGTCTAAACCCAGAATCTTGCTGTAGCCCCAGCACAGAGCGTGCCGTATCCGTCCATGGCTGCCGCCAACTCGCGTCAATTCGTAATCGTATTCTTATCGCGGTCGGCAACTTGGAATCTAGGACCCATTGTCCGATTCGGACTTACAGTTATTTGCCATAAATACAAAAACACTCGGTGGAGGACGCGGCGAGCGTCGTAGACTTGTAGTAAACTGCATAACTCAAACATTACGTTGAGCATTCCGTGAGCTTGATCGTCTCGACCATGGCGGCGGCGGCGCCGTTGACGGTCGGGGAGGCGCGGTCGGGCGTGTCCCGTGCCCAGGTGTGGGCGTGCGCCGTCGTCGTGCCGTGCTTCATCGTCGGCGCCTACCTCGCGGAGTCGTACGGCGCCGCCGCCGCCGCCTCCTCCTTCTTCGGCAGCGTCCCGTGGCGGCTGCCGCTGCTGGTGTCGTTCGCCGTCTACCTGTCCACGGTCTCCTGCGTCAGGTCCTACGTCAGCCTGTACCTGCGGCCGCACACGCCGGCGCACGTCGACAGGGCCATCCAGAGCGTCGGGTTCGTCGGCGTCGGCCTCGCTCTCGGCGTCGTCCAAAGCGTCGTGTTGGTTGCCGCCGGCGACAACCGCGTCGTCATGGCCCTCACCTGCGTCATCGCCGTGTTCAATGCCGGGGCGATCGCCTTGTGGGCATGGCTTATTGCGATGTACCGCCGCCGACGGGCCGGAGTATCATCTAGCTGTGGCAAGCAATTCTACTGCTCCTGATGAAAGAATTCTACGCCTGATGGAAGAGAGAATCTAGCCCGTAGTTGCAACGCTGAGATTTTTAGTTGTAATTAATGTTTTTGATGTTTCTGTTCCTGTAATTGATAGGGATATTTGGTTAGTTCGTTCAGTGATGTGTTTGGTGTTTTTCTCCTGCCATCTTTTGTATACGATACCGTCAGCAATATGGCGAGATTCCTAGATAGATATACCTATCAATAAATACTAACATACCCTGTCAATGGTACAACCGCAGGAAGCGCCAAACATAACCCTGGGTTGACACGAGATTTACAAATGCAGCTGTACAATGTGCATTTGCAAGAAGTACAAATTGCCTATGATTATAGGTCCAAAACTTAATGAACCCAATACATACTGATTTGTCATAGTAATGGACTAATTGTATCAATCCCAAAGAGACAGATACAACAATTAAATGAGAACCACTATTTTGATTACAAGAAATACAAAGGAGACCTACACCACAATCTGCACTGGGTGTAGTCGTGTAAGCTGATCAAATCAATCTAAAATCAAGGGATCTGAAAATCATATAATATCTAAAGTTACAGATGTAAGTTCGACTACCACAGCAATCCTTGTGGATCCAACTACTAACACAAAATCCATGTTTTAGCCCTGAAATACCAAAATTAAACAGTTTATTCTCAACGTCCAAGACATGGGGTGCTTATATTACAAGACTTGCTTAAGCAAGCATGCATTCCAGTGAAAAACTTAGATACTAGATAACAAGCCAACAAATCATGTTCCCAAAGTTATCTTTTTACCACCAATATGGCAATAGATGTATGGAATGCCACCAAACTCTAACAGGACATCGGCATGGCAAATTTTAGCAACCATCCAAATAAGACCAAATTCAAGGGGTAGTATCAAACAATTGAAAAGGCAAGTCGAGGCATACAACAAAAACACCCTAAGGACCTGCTGAAAGAATATTAACATGATGTTTTTCCTAACATACTGCCAGCAGAACAATTGTGACCCGGAGATTAAAATCAAGGACACAACTGGCATGTCAAGCCACATCCACAAACGAAATTAAAACATAGGTTTATAAGTATGTGTACGATGCTTGCAGGTATCAGAATTCAAAAAATAACAATTGAAAAGCAACCAAGGGACAGCATAACAATGTTAGATAAAAGCAGGATGTCAAGAGGGACTGATAAAGATACATTCATGGATATGTGCCCGCAATGCGCTCACAAAGCAACAACTTCCAAGGAAGACTGGAAACTTAAATTAATATAGTTTCCAACAGAGTTTACAGTATAAGGATTTATGAGCAGCAAGAGCAACAAAAAATTAATCCAGGAATGGTATACAGAGTATGTTAACAACTGCATTTCTGAAGTAGCTATCAAATAGAGCAGTCCAAAAGAGTGCTGACACTACATAAATCCTATGTGCCTGCACAACTTCCCGTTTAATGATTGGGTAACAGAGTCAAATTGCTACTGTGCAAAACGTTGCTCAGCCTCAGCAACATTTCAAATTCACTGCTAAAACATTGCCTCAATCTTTTCCATAACAATACCAGTACGAAGCTTATGGTTTAGTTGCAAAGGGTATTTGCCCTATTTTCTACCACAAAAATTTCAAAGCAGTGTATTTTACTAAGTGAACATCCTTCTTGAAGAGATATTCTGTACCAGAAAAGTTTTCCTCTTAACATGATATTCTAATGACATATACAACTATAAGAGCTTGGATGCTAGTTCAACATAACCACATAAAGCATGCAAAATATCAAACACAACAAATCTAAGTGTGATGCTAGAATGAAACAGGCCTGTCACTAAATTCAAGATCACAAACTATCTTGGATGGGTATTCAAGATGAGTGATAATCCTGTATGAGTAAACCAACCTGATTTCCCGAACTTACAGACCCTAGGCTAAGAATAAGCATTCACGGCGACATTGCTCTACTCTTCGCCACCACCATCATCCCCAAACCTCTTGTTATCATCACCCTCACCCTCCTTGAGGTCACCCTCCTCCCCATCTTCCTCAGTGAGACGCGCAATCTCTGCTTGCGCCTTCTCCAAAATCTCCCTCCTCCTCACCTCAAGATCCCTTTGGAGATCCCTCCGCAACCACTCAACCTCAGCCATGTGCTGCCTCTTGCTACTCTCCACCCTCTCATAGACATCCCCAAGCTTCCGAATCGACTCCACGAGCAACTCAAAGTCTTCCCCTTTCCCTGCACCAGCCTCGTTTGGCTGCTCTTCACCCAATTCCGCACCAGACCCAGAATCCCTTGTTCCCGCGTTCTCACACCCGCCCAGCACGTACTCCGCGGCGTCCAGACCCCAAGATTGGCGCGGCACCGGCTGCGTGTCTCGGCGGCGCGTCACTACGGGTGGCTGCAACGGGAGCGGCGGTGGGCACATGAGAGACTGCATCTTGTCGAAGTAGATCCACTTGGAAGGCGAGGGGCGGTCGGGGCGGTCGGGGCGGCGGGCGGCGAGGCGCATCCTCTCCTTCTCCTTCCTGTACTTCTTCCTGAGGGTGTCGATGCGGTTGCGGCACTGCTGCTCCGAGTAGTACCCGGGGGGGCGGGAGGCCGCGGCGGCGGCGAGGCGGGAGACCTCCAGCCACTCGTCCGCGCGGAGGCTGCGGCGGCCGGCGCGCACGAAGCGGTCGCCCCAGGCGTCGAGGAGCGCGAAGGTGGAGCCCTCCGACCACTCGGGCGTGCCGCGCGCGGGCGTCGGCGCCGGAGCGGTCGCGGTCGCGGTCGCGGGGGCGGGGCGCGGGGCGAACTCGAAGCCTTGCGCGTAGCGGTCGGTGCGGCGGCGCTTGGAGCGCGGGGAGGGGGAGGTGCCGGAGGAGGAGGGCGACGGCGAGGGTAATTCGGCGGCGGCGGCGGCGGCGGGCGCCGCGCCGTCGTCCATGAGCGGGGAGCTAGGGTTTGGTTCCGGGGATAGGGGTGGCTCGGCGAGATGGATCGGCCGTCGAGTTTGCGGGCAGGTCACCCCCATTGCCTCGGCGGGGGTCAGCCGGTCAGGTGGGCAGTGAGGATGAGGTGGGGGCACTGTACGGTATCTTTTTTTTTCTTCTTTCAATATAAAAAATATTGAAAAACTGAAAACAAAACTATATAATGAACAAAATACGTTAATATAAACTCATACTGGCTCAAAATATAAGTATTTTTAGAGCTCGATACGGTCTTCGAGATACTACTTTAACCAACAGTATCTATAAAAGTAAAATATTTTAAATATAAAGAGTTAGATATTATGATAATTCGTTTAAAGATAAATATAGTAACATTAAATTTACATGATTAATTGTTTTAATTGTTTTCTATTAGTAGTCAAAATTTAAAAAGTTTGACTTAGCACTATTCTAAAAATACTTATATTTTAGAATGGATGGAGTAATAAATAAGGCAAAATTCTAATTATAAAACCGCACAACTTTATATAACTATATAATATGATGAGACTAATTCAAGGTTACACTACATAAATTACAAACAAACGGTCTTCTTCGTAATCATGCACTTTAGTTAAGGATTTGATTCCTTTTAACCATGCACTTTTGTTAAAGATTTGATTGAGGAGTTGATGGGTATCTACACTATAGGTCAAATAAAGAAATAGAGGATAGTTATAGATGCATTTAGAAATACGTTAATTTTCTTAAGAATATGGTAAGATTCAAAAACAGCCAGTATAACGTGAAATAATTTATGTTTTTATTTTCATATTATTTTTACCATTTTCATCTTAGTTTTCAGGGTTAACTATTTTCACATGGTCGAGCAGTAAAAGTAAAAAAGAAAACGAACGTAGGTCGATCAGGAATTTTCAAAACCATTTTCACCTCTAACGGTACTTTCAAAACGGACATATTCCCTCCGTTCCTAAATATAAGACATTTTGGTTGGATGTGACATATCCTAGTACAACGAATATGTATAAGCTTTATGTCCAAATTCATTGTAATATGATGTGTCATATCCAATAAAAATCCCTTATATTTAAGAATGGAAGGAGTACTTTATACTAGTATAAAAGGAGTACTCGTGGTTATGCATATACAAGTACATTTCGGTGGCCAATTCCTGCGTACATCTCGATGATTGATTATGCATTTTAGTGGTGTTCTTTTCTCATGAAAATAAAGATTAAGTTTTTTTTATACAAAATAAGGTGGTATTAACGTCTGATTGATTGAGTTTTAATTATTATAAACTTGAAAAATAGATTAATATGATATTTTAGAGCAACTTTCGTATAGAAAGTTTACGCATGAAACGCACCATACATCTCGATGATTGATTATGCATTTTAGTGGTGTTCTTTTCTCATGAAAATGAAGATTAAGTTTTTTTTTACGCAAAACAAGGTGGTATTAACGTCTGATTGATTGAGTTTTAATTATTATAAACTTGAAAAATAGATTAATATAATATTTTAGAGCAACTTTCATATAGAAAGTTTACGCATGAAACACACCGTTTAGCAGTTTAAAAAACATGCCATGAAAATCTTAATCTTCATTCAACTCTTGCTGGAGAAAAGAACGGGTCGGAGTCATCAGTCATGCATGACTCATGACAACACTAAAGTTCCGTAGAGTGTAGTCCTATATACTGTTGTTCAACTAACCATTGATTGATGGAAGAGTCCTACACACGTGCCAGCGTGCGCACCATATATGCATATGAAAATGGGCAACTATACAAAGACGTACGTTCTCGATCACCGAAAGAGAAATGTACATGAACTAAAACATTCGTACGTTCTCAATCACACACACACACACAGAGAGAGCGTGCGCTATATATGAACTAGAAAACATCCTCTATCTTGCAGTTACGTTGCACTACATGTTGCACATCGCGCAATGACCAGGGCCGAGTTGTTCGGCGTGCATTTGGATGTATGGACACAGAGAGTCACAGCGGTAGATCCGTCGGTGTGCACACATCGTCTATACAACAGGATAAATTATAAGTGAACCATTATTTTTCATGATTTAAATATATTCTAAGTGCACGTGAAGGTGGGCCAGGCGTGACGTGAGGACTGAGGAGGCTGACCGTGGTAAACTAGTCTTAGTTTAGAGTAGCACATACGCCTACTTATCTCCGGGCCTCTACATGCTGTTGTACTAGTAGTGCTACTGTATACTAGACTTTTCTACTACTAGCTTTTCTTTTGTACTCCAAATGGGCTTGATTGGGCTCTTCTAACTTCATCTGGGCCTCCCTCGTCACGAGAACCCATGGGCCGTCCGCTTGACGAGAGTCTGTCTTGTTCAAATGGAAAATGAATCTGTCGTGAGTTGCAACGTATGTAAGCGCAGGCTGCGCCGCAGTGGCACAGACCACAGAGAAAGCAAGCGACCTGTAGACGTGTGAGTGAGCTGGCCCTGGTGCCACTACTACAGCACCGATTGTTCCGTGCGGGCGAGCCAATTTTTGCGTGCAGGTGGACAGCCCGCACGCACCCAGTCATCTGAGAAAATCACGATTTTCACGTGCGTGCGGGCCCACACGCACCCAGTCATCTGGGAAAATCACGATTTTCACGTGCGGGTGGCGCACCCACACGCGAAAACCGATTTTCGCGTGCAGGGGCTTAAGTCGCTCGCACGGAGAAACAAAAAATCAAAAAAAAAGAAAAAAAACTAACCCTAATCTACCGCCGTCGCTGCCTAGCCGAGGCCCGCCGCCGTTGACCCCTCCTGCCGGCGGCCACTGACGCCATCGCACCTCCTGCCGGCAGCCACCGACGCCATCGCACCTCCTGCCGACGGCTCCACCTCCACGCCGGCCGCTAAAGACACCTCCCAACCGCCGCCGCCGCTCCGATCTGCAAGGGGAGGGGGGGCGCGCCGCCGGATCCACCGCCCCCATGCCTCCCCTCCGCCGGATCTGGAAGGGTAGGGAGGGGAGGGGGTGTTGTGGTCGCCCGCCGCCGCCACCACCGCCGCCTGCGCGGTGTCGCCGCGGTCGAGGGAGAGGGAGGAAGGCACCGTGCGCCGCCGGCCGAGCGACAGCCCGGCAGGAGTGGGAGGAGAGGAGAGAGGGAGGTGGGAGGAGAGGAGTGGGGAGGGAGGTAGGGGCGGACTGAGTGCGTGCACGGTTATAAAATGCGCGAGCTGATTTTCGCGTGCGGTTGGCTTAAGCCGCCCGCACGGGATAATGTGTTTTCCCGTGCAGGTGATATCCCGGTACCGGTCCCCTATTTTTTCGTGCGGTTCCACTTACGGACCACATGAAAACAAAATGGAAAGGTGTTCAGGAAAATAAATCATGCAGTAGTGTGCTGGCATTAAGTTGCATATGCTTCTTCTTGGAGACCAAGGCAGAGCAGCTAGCATATCTGCATATGCGAGTTTCAGATGCTTCTTCTTGGAGACCAAGGCATGCAAGTGCAGTAGTTGCATTAGTGCTTAACCCCTCCTACCATATTACTCTTCGCTTTTCACTTTAAGACGAAAATAAGCGGTTTCACCGGGAGGCAATGATGTTAATTCAGAGCATCAGAAATTCATAAGTGATGTTAATTCGTCTTTGACCCGTTGCTTATACCTAAAGTTATGTTAATTCGTCTTTCGGGAAGTATTAATAGTTACTGTAATGGTAGATTATTGGTACTTCAGTACTACTGATGGGCTACGAACCTGGTTCTTCGTAGCCAAAATGATCCTCAGAAAAACGACCTGAAACCGCATGACAAAGAGAGCCACCTGTGATTCTTCAGCCACTGAATTACTGAACTTTTCCATGCGATGACGATGTGGCGTGTTTTCCCCTGCTCCAAGCGACCAAGCATGCATCAGCACAGCTTCTTGATATGCAAAAGCAAGCGTGTAGCTATCTAGCTTTGGATTTTTGGAAGCACTCACAAGTTAAGCCATGTAATGGTAGGAGTACATATCGTCCACTTGTTTCTTCAGTTACTTGTAGACATCACCCGTAAACCAAGGGCAGTTTTCTTGCACACTTGCAGATCGAGCTGAACTATTTATATTTATGCGGTTCCAATCATTCCTGCAGCAGCTTGGCAATTTGTTTCGGCAATCTGCAAAGCTGTTTTTATACCTATACTCCTACTACTCCCTCCGTTTCACAATGTAAGTCATTTTAGTATTTTTCATATTTATATTGATGTTGATGAATCTAGATAGATATCAATATAAATGTGAAAAATGTTATAATGACTTATATTGTGAAACAGAGAAAGTACTGCACTTCTGTTATTGCTTTGATTAAAGTTGTTGTTTTTTGCCATGGCTGCACTACACACCACACAGCCATGTCCTCCTCCAGCAACCAGAGAGCAGCATCGCGTTGTGTGCGAGCCCAAGACGCTACTAGTCAAACCACCAAGACTTCTCGATCAGCGCTGCCCAATCACTTCGACGTAGGAGTACCCCTACAACGCCATCGTGCTAAGTGCAAACAAAACACGAGGACACAGATCAGATCAGTCTTCAACCTCCTCGCTGAGAACACAGAGAAAGGCCGGCCAGCCAATCCGCTCATGGCAGCATCTGAAAGTGAAACCAAAACTTGAAAACTTTGCAACTGCAACGTTGCATCGATGCCATTTACGTGCAGACAACTGTGGGCTTGAAAACTTTGCATCACAAACAACGCGTTGCTGCAGGTAGATGCAGAGAGATAGATATGTCATCAGGCTAAATAAAATATACTGCGCGCGCGCGCACACACACAGAGAGACGCAGTGACAGCGCCAATGCAGTCACTGCTGCAGCCTGTGTAAAATGTAATCAATCCAAGGAAAAGTTAAAAAGGCCACTGTAAAAAACGAGTAATTAAAGTGGAGGGTGGGGAGAGAGGGTACAGGGCGAGGGCTCCGAGCGAGAGGGAATTTTTCGTGGCTGCCGACATGGATCGGGTTAATCTAAACCGGCCTTGCCTTAATCATCGTACCGCACGAGAGGGTTTAGCACGAAGGTAAAGGCGATTTTACTGCCGCTGATACACGGTTACCGACGCGATAACGACAGGTTGGGAATCGACACCTGCCCCCCATGACCTAATGCACGGACGCTAATCACCATGCTACTTGGCATCTAGTCTGAATCTCAAGAAACCATAGGACAGTACGTGCGTACTACTGCATTTGCCCGGTTGTAAGCTCAAAACGAAAGAAAAATTATTAACCTGGTTAGGGCTTTAGGGCGCCTCTAAACTATGTATGGGCTTGGTTACTAGCTCGATTTTTAGCGTATTTTTTAAACGGTTAAATGGCGTGTTTCATATGCAAACTATATAGAAATCTCATTCAACTAAAACTTCTTAGGCTGTGTTTGAGGAGAGGAGATAGAGGAGATTGGTAAGATACGTAAAACGAGGTGAGCCATTAGCACATGATTAATTGACAATTAAGTATTTTAAACTTAAAAAATGGAGTAATATGATTTTTTAAAACAACTTTCCTATAATTTTTTTACAAAAAACGCACCGTTCAGTAGTTCGGGAAGCGTGCGCGTGGAAAACGAAATAAAACTCACTCACAATCACCTAGATCACCCAGGAAAGAACACAGTCTTATAATTTTTTTACATATGAAATAGCTAATACTCAATTAATCATATACTAATTATACTTTCATTTTCATTTTACATGTGACTAATCATCTGTTCTAAAACAGACCTAAGAATGCACCTTCAGAGTGGCTTTTGTTAGAAGCATTTCAACCTAACACAATTTTGTGCAAACACAGGTGAATTCCACCCATGTCATAGGGGCATCCACAATGTACTCTAAAAGTGGTCCATAAGCAATACAAGTATAATATTTGATTCAGCCACCTACCAACATTGTGGAACTAGTCCATAGGAAAGAAATAACAAAAGCTACCCATAAGCATATGAGCTGCCCATAGAGAATAAAATATATCATTTGTCTCTATCTCTTCTCTCCTACTAATACTATTTGCTATCCATATATACTGTGAAGGTTACAATAGTTTAAGTTTATATATGTGGGTCCTATCTTTATAGACTACTTTTACCATATATATTGTTGTTGCCCTTACGGTCAGGATAGACAAGTCTCTTGCCTTAGTTGCCTGCTTGAAATACTATCGCCAACGAAATCAAATGACGACTTGTATTTTCCGTAAATTGATCAATTGAAAGAACAAAAGGCAACGTGCAAATGCCACGAAGAACAGATGACACAGCATGTTTCAACCGTTAAGCATGCATGTCACGCATGCTTAATTATAGAATTAAATTTGAAAATTTACTGTTCATTTAATTTTTTTCTCAGAAATATTCGGGATGCAAAAACTTATCGCACTTTCGTTGAGTGAAAATGACGCGGGGATGACGTCTCGGGCGGTATCGCTCGACGAGAGCGAGACCGTTCGGTCTCGCAGAAACAATTAGCGACATTGTCAATAGGATTCATTTGATTAGTGATTAATTACTTAATTAACAATTAACTAATAATAATTAGTGATAATCAGGATAATTAACTGCTAATTAAATCGGCAAGGCACGCTATCGCTCTTTGCTTGGGCGATAGCGTTGTTTGCTGGAGCGTTATCGCTGGTTGCTTGAGCGAGACCGTGCGGTCTCGCACCGACTGTGCGGTCTCGCACTTTCACTGCACGATACCGATCGTGATGTCATTTCCACACCATTTTCGTGTAATGATTGTGCGAGACTGATGGTATATTTATGTAAAAGATTTTGTATCCCGAATATTTTTTTTTAAAAATAAATGAACAATATATTTTCAAATTTAATTCCTTAATTATACCGTAGAGTTCACAAGAGGACGAGAAGATGCCATGTTCTACGAGTTTTAACTTGTGTGGGGTACTGGGGGTACGAATTCTGTCTCGCGTCAGACACAGACCAGCGTAATTAGCATGTGCCAATCGCTTTTATTAGCGGTAAAAGATGGGAAAAGTAAAAAAAAAAAAGGGAAAGCAACGGGTCCCTACTCCACAGACGTACGATGCTCCTCGAGATACACGCCAACGTCGTACACGCGTCGGGCCTAGCTGTCCCTCGCCACACAAGGCGACAAAAAATACGTATTGGTTTCAACGTTTTCACCGTGGCGGTCAAAATAGGACGGAAAAAAGAAATTGTAACGCTGCCCGTTTGCCACCTCCCGTCGTCCACACGTGCAAGCACAATTGCTTTTCAGATAAAGAGTAGTACAATGTTTGGTACTCCGTCAAGCACATTGTATGAGTATTATACTGGAGTAGGAGTAGTTATTTTAAGCAAAGCAGTATCTGTCACAGGTAAATCACTGCAATTAGCGAGTCATGGCTCATGGAACAAACACTGCAAGAAGTGCGGGAACTTTTTTTTTTGGTCATTTTTGTATGACGTGATACTTACGTTCATGACTCATGACACGCAAGAGAGCTTGAAAAGCAACGCATAAGTACAAAATTATTTGTTCTGTATTGTTTTGTTTTACTATATCTTCTCATGAAACAACCCAAGTGACAACTGACAAACCGGGTTAGTAAGGGGGTGTTTGAGAACTAGGGACTAAATTTAGTCCCTCTCACAAAAGTATAAGTCCCTATAATAGGGGCTTATGTTTTTGTGAGAGGGACTAAAGTTTAGCCCTACTTTAGTCCTCCAACCAAACACCACATAAGTAGGTGTTTGGGAGAGAGAGGCTAAACACAAAAACATAAGTCCCACTTAAATCCCTCCAACCAAACAATAGAGTAGCACAAGTGTAGACCCAAAGAAGAAGGAAAAAAAAAGGAACAAAAATGTCTCACACAGTCACACTACCAAAGAGTAGAGAGAGACTGTCTTTTTTTTTTTAATTTAGAGAGTGTCTTCCAAGAAACAAAAAGAAAAGCAAGGGAAAAGAAAATTCAAAGACGAAAAAATATATTAAAAAAAAACTAGGAGAGTCAGAGACAGACACAGAGAGATGGTAGTGGTAAAGCGGAGGAGGGGTGGGGTGTTGAGCCCTGGAGAAGCCACCGCACCCCCCGCCCGTTGCCTTTGCGCTGCATGCCGCCCCGCGCGGGGACACTTGTCTTCTTCCCAATAAACACACCCACGCACACAAGAAACCTCACGGAAAGCAGAGCAGCAACCCAGCCAGCGGAGGGTCAGGACTCTGGAGCGGAGCAAGAAGCAGATTGCTGTGCAAGCCGCCTCCTCCTCCTCCCCCCTGCCTCTCTCTCCTCGCCCTTCTTAACCCCGTCTCGCGAGAGAGGAGAGGAGCCACCACCACCGCCTCGACGCCGAGAACCAGCCTCGCCGTGACCCCCGGTCGCCAGGTAACAAAGCACTCCACCACCACAGCCTCGGTTTGGTTTCTTGAAGCTTCTAGTGCTCGTTTCTTGGACTGTTGCGTTGCCTGTTCATGGATGTTGGCGCACTGGGATCGATGGGATGTATGTACTAGTTTGTTGGTCTTCCGGTTGGGTTCGTCTTCGTTTCCGGCGTGAGATTAGATGGGTTCATCAGGTGGTGATTTGGGACTGCATGCGGTTGTCTTTGTATCGGTTGGGATTCTTGGGTCGGTGGCGCTGGCGGTGGTGATGTAAATTCCCTTTCATGGTCGCCGTAATGCACAGCGTTGTATTGCCGCCGCATCTCTCCATATATGAAGTCCTCTTTAAAGCGATTGAGATTGATCTGGGCTGTTATGGAATAGGGAGGGGATGGTGGGGAGAAGTTCGTGTTGATTTCTTGTTTTGAATGCTTGTTTGCTTGTTCTAGTTTTTCTGGTCACGATCATGTTGATCAAGTGAGTGTTATACACGATCTTGTTTTTAGTTTGCAATCTTGATTAATGAGATGAGAAGATGAGATAGATGCCCGTTGTTGTAACCAGTGATTTTTTTTCTTGCTTTTTGGACCTGCCGCACAGATGCCATCAGTAAACCAAACCACCTTTTTTTCAAGTACTAACTTTTTTTTACTATTGTTTATGTACTTATGATGCTCATAGTCATAGATCATCATCATCTTTTCTCTTCTTTGCACCTTTGACTTGATGAGTTATAAAAAAGCACAAAAGCTGGAATTTCTTTTCACTTTTGTTCGCTTCCATCATCATTGACCGACCTGATATGCAACAGAACAAAAATTTTGGCTATTTTCAGGGACAGGTTACTCTCATCTTTGGTGCTTGTGAACAAGACGACAGCCACCGCTCATCAAAGAGCAAGCCATGGAGGAATCCAATGATCAGGGCCTTGCACAGAAGAGCACTGCCCCCACTGGGTTCTTCAGGGTCCCCGGCCTCTTTGTGAGGCTGAGCAGCAAAGGATTGAACGCAGTGGACCCTGATTCTGCCTGGAGCCCAACCTCTCCATTGGATTTCAAGAACCTGTCATCGAGCACTGGAAGCACAAATCTCAAATCCTCTGGGCTACTGGGTGTCGAGGCTGATCAGAAGTTCAGAACTAACCCTCCCAGAGTCGGCCTCGGCCTCGTCGACGCCCTCACCGCCGACGAGAGCTCCTCGTGCTTGGGTGTCACGAGCTCGTTTCTTGATTCCATCAGGCCATTTCTTGAGCTCGGGTTGCCGAAGGCGGCGAGTGATGCTGCAATGCAGAAGAACGGTTCAGGTAGCGTCACTCTGGACGAGATTGCAGACTTTGCTCTGTCTGAAGAGTACACCTGTGTGATCGAGCACGGCCCGAACCCGAGGACGACGCACATTCTGGGAGACGAGACACTGGAGGTGTGCAAGGGTGTCCCAAGGAGTTCCAAGAAGTCAATCTTCACCATCGAGCCCATCGGCGAGCTGCCGTCGACGCTGGCGTGTGCTGTTTCCCGCTCATGCTGCTACTGCAGGAAGAGGCTGCAGCAGGACAGGGATATCTACATGTATCTGTGAGTATTCCTGAACTCGTCTGTAGCCTGCATTTCCATGAGATACTTGCATGTTTATATCTCACTCTCAGTTGCTAAACCTTTGTGCTGGCTTGTTGCAATGCAGGGGAGAGAAGGCATTCTGCAGCAACGAGTGCAGGAGGGACTACATCGATGAGGAGATCGAGGAGGTGGAGGAGCTCATGATGCTGGATTCTGCCGGTTCTTCTGCCCTCTTGGCTTGGTGAAAATCGGCAGTAGATGACTAGAAGTAGTAGTAGTAGTGCTGGTGAGTGGTGGTGCAGGAAAGCGACTACTACCTCTTTTGGATGGAGATTCAGGTTTTGGTAGGGAAAGGAAGGAAAACATGCTTCCCGTTCTAGTTTTTCTGAATGGAGAAGTTTTTAATTTAGCCGGTTTGTGCAAACAGAAGTGCAACGGCTAAATGATTTTCATGGATTGTGTGGGGATTCCCCATTTTGCCTGTAAGACGAGCAAACCCCCCATAATTTCACAGCAAACAGTTCTCCCTGCTGAATTCTCACTGCATCTTCTCCTTGTTTCTCAGCATTTTTCTTTCTTTTCTGGTTGGTTCGTCATTTTACTTTCTGAATCTTCCGTCGGTGCGCTTGCCCATCATGCCGATGTTTGATGATGGGTCACTGTGCCCTTCGAGCAGTGAAAAGGAGAGCTTGGAGGTGTTCTGTGCATCATAAGCAGGGATCAGACTCTCCCAAAGGGAAAAGGTGGCAAAAGCTCAGGGCCGGCCTCCTGGTGAGGCGTCAGAGGCACTAACTACAGTCGCAGTGCAATTATCGGCATCCCATTCATCGGTATGTTTGGATCCGGAAGGCTATCTAGAATCCTACTATTTAGGAGTACGGAAGGCTATTTAGAATCCTACTATTTAGGAGTACTAAACGTAGATTACTGACAAAACTCATTCTATAACCTCTAATCTATTTTGCGAGACGAATCTAACGAGGTATATTAATCTATAATTTGCTACAGTGATGCTACAGTAATCAATTGCTAATCATGGATTAGTATACATTATTAAATTCGTCTCGCAAAATAGCCTAGGGGTTATGGAATCGATTTTGTCGGTAATCTACGTTTAATACTTTTAAATAGTAAGATTCCAGATGGCTATTTAATAGCCCGAAGGATCCAAACAAGACCATTGTGCTGTAGTGCCTGTTGGCTCTGCTCCCCTGTTGAGCTCCAGTGGCTTGTTTACATCGACGCGAGGACACAACGCAAAAAACCTGCCTGCTTGGCTCAATCAGTAGTGGCCTTGCGCCGTACTCGAAAGGCCTAGAAGGTATCCAATGGGCAATGGCTACGGCAATTAACATCCGGGTAAGCCGAACCACTTCGATGAAGTAACATCCAATTTTTTTAGCGCGGTTTTATTGATAGAGCATAAGAAAATTATAAGATTACAACTCTAAAAGATCGTAATATACCACTACCCACACACTAACAACGTCAACACACAGACTCAGGAAAAGGCTAGCACAGAACTGGCCGCCTAGACCAACGACGGAACATAGCCAAGATCGTCTAAAACCCGATCCTAACAATCAATACAAAACCCCACTCTATCTAAGTCTTTACGATTTAGGGAGGGTGAGAGAAAAATGGAACTCCTCTCCCCTCATAGGCCCTCTGACGTGGTCAACTTCCAGAAGCTAAGACACCGACACAAGAGCATATGAATCTAGAGCGAGCTTGCACCAATTGCTCGACGGAACGCCACCGATGTCATTCGTCAACGTTGCAAAGAGAACCGAGACTGGGCTTTCGCTTGACAGCCACACTTAAGGGGTGAGACGGCACGACAACGCCCTCAAGAGGGGAATGACCCTTGAACGTCATCGTTGCTGGTCCGCCCAAGGCCGTATTAGGTTTTCACCTGCCGTCCATCGCCTGCCGATCTAACACTAATGCACCATTGCTCCACCGCCATCTAAACCTCAGCCGGCGCACGGGCACCATTGCACAATGCGCCCCGCCGGCTAATCTCCACGTGATGTCACCTCATTGGGCTCTGCCTCGACTGGCCTCACCTCCCGCTGCGCAGGCCACCGCGCCGGCCACCACCACCACGCGCGGCCGACCTTGTCATGCCGCACCAGCACACACTTCGTCTCGCCGTCGATGACGCCACGCCCGCACTGCCGTAGCCTAGATCCGACGACACGCTTCGGCCGCGGGAAGGCGGGGGAGAGGAGGGAAGGGTGGTGTCGGCGGGGGCTAGGGTTCGTCCCCAGTTGCCCGCGCGAGGACGACAGGAAGCGCTTTCACACAGCAAGTAACATCTAAATCAGTTCTGAGTACTTCTTCGAAACGCAAGATTTAAGAAAACAAATAAATAAGAGAAAAAAGGACTCACAAAAGTTCAAGGGCAAAACAGATAATCGTCAAAAGATAAAAATATAAGATTTGATTATACCGCAAGAAAAACGTATGAATTAGATAAGAGATAGACACATATGGAACTTCTCATAAGATTAAACAAAAATCCTCTACAACTTGTATGAATTGAGACATCCTTATAATTTTCATAGATTCAATAGTTTTTAATCATTTATTTCAAAGGACCATATAAAAAAATATAGATTAGAATTCTATCAAATTTAAAATTTAAAACTTTCAAAGTTGCTTATATGCTACATGCTACAAGTCAAAAGATAGAAAAAGCCATTATCCCTACTAGAGCCCAGATACTAGCACCATCAAAGAGGCAAACCCAAAGAATTCAATACTTGGCCCTCTGTTAAATAATCAGAACAAAATGAACTGAGGTAGATTTGCCATTTTTCTCAACCGAGCAAGGTATAGGAACTGAACAAGACCGGCATATGGGACCGGCATTGAACATGAGAAATGGTGGCTACTGCAAGTACCACAGTTCCTACCAGTAAATAACACCCACGTCCTGCAATCCGCCATCCTACTACACACGCACACGAGCAAGAAGTAATACTATGCCACTAACCGTTACAGTGTTTGCCCGAGACTCAACAAGTACACACCATAACACACAAGCTAGCCACCATTTATGCCCAGAAGCTTGAGTAGACGTGCACTTATTATCTCGGCTAGTGCTAGTAGAAACTTAAGCTGAACAGGACTCTGAGTCTGCGACATGGTGAGGTAATAAATTGAACACAGGAGGGAACAGCATCCACTTCATAGATGAATTTCAGATGCGAGTGATTTGCCTCGGCTGAGGCATCCAATGAGCAAGAAAACGACCGAGAGCTCATCAGATTCCCAGAGGCGTTAGCGGGATTTGTGTTGCAAAATGAGCATCCCCCAGGGCTCTCTTCCCATACAAAATGAATCACATCAAAACTTCGCCACTTCAGATCTGGCGGGTGTTGTAGGACTTGCACTTCTGGCACTTGTGCGCAATCAAATGGAACTGCACCTCTGATGTTGCCCCACAATCGTTGCACAATATGCGCACCTTCAGGGTAATGCAAAGGAACCAAATTAGCAAGTGTCAACAAACTCAACATTTGGATGAAATTCAGGCAGGTAAGACTCAGATTTCTGACATGAGGCAAATACAATTCTCCATGATACTTCAAGTTACTTTATCGACATGCCTAAGGGCAAGCATATGATAGCATATTGGTGTAGAAGTTAGAACACCTTTCTACAACATTCGATGGTTTCCTTAGTTCCTACTGACAACAGAAGAGCAGAGAAGAGAGCATTACCATTTTATTGTCACAGGTGTCAGATATCGTTGCTAGTTCCTCGTCCAATCTCTCCCATGCCTTCGACATGTCGCAGACAGATTTAGAGCAAAGCGGGCAAGCAAATCTGAGCATCAATTTTAAGCTGTCAAAATCAACCACTCATAATATCATTACAAATAGTAAACAAAGGGCCAAGAAGGATTGACTTACTGGCAGTGCTCCTCCATTTCTCGCAAGCACTTGACATGAATGGTATGACCACAGGGCAAGACGGAAACATCATTGGTTGATTCAAAAAGGTACTGAAATATGTGTAACAAGATCAGCACTCAAGAAACAACTTGAAAACAAGGTGATAAGTCACTCATCAACAATATAATCCACAGTATGCTGCATATAACCATTCATAAAAGAACAGTGAATGCCTACCTCAAAGCAGATTGGACAGTCATGATGCATCGCTCCTTCAACACATGCATGACTGTTCTTCAATACTATAGAATAACAGCATCCTGCATGAAACAGATAACAAAGGTGAACACAAATCAAGAGAAGTGACTAGCAAAATTCATTCATATGCATATAAATAATAGAAATCAAGTCATAAAATTCAAGTGAGGGTTTGAACTAGTTCAGCTAACAGGGTTAAATAGTCAACGTTAACGATGCAAGATCTTAGTAGACTTCCAGAAAGGTAGAGGATATTCATCTAGTAATATACAGTGTATAACAGAGAAAATTTTGGGAAAAAAAACTGCAATCTTATCATAGCAGAAGTCCATACAACCCATGCATGATGCATATATCTCTATCGGGAAAAGTAGCATAAACAAGATCTCTCATTATATCAATCAGTATCCTTTTCCCATCAATTAAGAGTTCAGGGACTAAAAGAATCCTTATTCCTTAAATGGCGCTATGTTAAATTATAGTACTTCGGAATGCAACGTTGGAGACAAGAGGCATTACCGCATTTTGAGCAGTGAAAGAAATTCTCCTTGCCACCAATTCTGCAAACATAGTCGAATGTAAGTATATTTTCCAGTTCATATTGATTGCACAACAAAAAAGAGATGCAAACCTGCATATTCCACAACCATTGCAATGATATTGCTGTTTTGAAACCTGACATTGTAGAAAGAAGTGTCATTATGCTTTCCTATCTACTTATTACAAATAGACAAGGCAATCAAAATAGTTATTCTTCTTACTAACATCATCATCAAAGAGCTTGCACACTTCACAGAAGTACTTCCCCATGCATACACCACAACTGATACATACTTGCCGTACCTGGTAACATAAAAGAGTTATCGTGATTACACTAGATGCCAGATAATTAATAATGTTACAATGCAAGCAACAAGGATAGCTCAGCTGTACCTCTTGTTCCGTGCCACACAACGAGCATATAACCTGCTGCACTTCATGGCGTGGGAGTTCATGCCTCTTCACAGCATCAATTTTAATTGAATTCTGTCAAAACAGTTTGGATGTCAACAACTTTCCACATTTTTAAACCAACAGTTAATACCATGATAAAGAATAGATACTTGTATAGTTCAGCTTGGGAACTGCCCAAGGAAGGTCCAAGTATGCAGTATAAACCAAAACAGTGACGATTCAGATATTTCACCAGGAAAAGAACAAAAGGATATATTATAGTTGCCAACAAATTGCTGGTACAATACAAATAAGTCGTGTACATGTAACAGCCCATAAGCAAATACATCAAATTACTGTTTCAATGTAAGAATGGAAAATACAACAGATTTCAACTGTTACAGATGGATGATAATCCAAAGTCATAATGGACGGCTGGCAGCAGTTTAGTAGTTCTATTCTGTGTCTTCATTTTATGTCACAACCATACCATTTATCTGATTTCTAAATCATATCCAGCTATAAAATGAGTTAATGATCAGAACATTGTTAGGTTTTTTTAAACCATTTTATGCTCACTATTTGATTTTTTTAAAGGAAACGTTTTATACTCACTAGTGCTCTTCAAACATATGCATTAATATGAACAGCAGTTAATCAAAGCCTTTGTGAGTAACTGACTATTCCTACATCAAAACCACCTAGGAAAGTATGGATAAAAGAGTACATACTTTTTAACTATTGCACTTCCACATCAACTCGAAAACCATACCTTTGTTTCATTGTGGCAATGCCGACAATCAAAAATCTCGTTGCAACATGGAGCTCGAATGCGGCACCTTCTTCGATAATGTGCACACCTGACATAGTACATTAAGCACAAACTTGTTGGCACTTAAGGAGCTTATCAAGAACGCCTAACCAGAGAACAAAAAAAAAAAACATACCCATACTGCATTATCCCTTCCTCAAGTTTCTCATAATCATCAGGGTCCACATCTTCGGTCTTTTCAGTTGCGTACTTCTCATCAGACAACAGAGAAACTAGAGCATGTTCCTCCACATTTATCTTAGCTTGTCCATGTTGAACAGCAGTAGACTCAAGTTGTACGTCCATGGCGCCCATCTTGAATGTTTTGCACCACAAAAACTATCACGTTGCCAATACAACAGAAAACACCTGCAAGTATTATGCATTTAGCAGGATAGTTCTCACTACAGAATGCAGTCAGGTCCTAAAAAATGAGGAAACCACTGCATGCACTCCAGGGTTGCTGTATACTGCCGAACTCCAGGCAAATCAACAAAAGACCAAAGCAATGTCGAACAGCTCCAGTCGGCACAATCCCAATAGATTGATCACCAAACAATCACAGCTAGCACTATCTGGATAGCGAGCTGTATTAAGAAATTTACTACTCAATAAGGTATCCATCCAGATTCCATGGAAGAGTTCCCAAGCAATTCGAACAGTGTCCATCTGCATCAAACTTACTGTGGTGTCCACCCCCATTCTCTGGCAAGAGGAACACGTAACAGCATCAAATGCCAGGAAACAAGAAGAAAAAGAAAAAAGAAAAAAACAAGCGTGACGGTTTCATGATAAGGCTTTGGTTATTAGCTTACACCAATCAGATACGTCGTTACTTAGGACGTTAGATCATAAGGGAGCCTACCTCCAGCTGCCAACAGCTTCATCTTCAACAAAAGAAACTTCTCCATTCTTTTAATTAAAATCCATAGCACATCCATATAAAAAACTTATTCCTTTGCTTCTCCAATCAGGGAACTTCTTGAGCCTCTCACATCCATCATACTAAGACTTTTTTACTTCATTGGTTTGTACCTGAAATTTAACCTATCTACAAAACTTCTCTACTGAATACAGTCATCTCAATGACTGGTACAATACTCTGACAGAACCTGCATAAGAGAATTCACTTTCCCAATTCTCTGGCAAGGAGTGGTGGAAATTAGTAGCCAATACATGGTAAGTAGTCCACTGCTTTCCCAATTCCATTGATATAGATGAGGCAAATTGAAGGATTTGTCCAGAAAAGTAATAAGTTCCCCATCGCCTCGTCGCTCTCTTGCCTGACAAAATTTATTTTCTTCCCTGTATTTGGTCTAGAATTTTTCTATTCTATTATTTTTATTTTTATTTTTTTAACAGGAGAGATGGACCATGGGAGAGGCACAAACATAGGGTACTGGGTGTGGTACAAGGAGAGGAAGCAAAATGCAGAGTCCATATGCAGAAAACATTGGTTAGGAAATAGATAACGTGGTGCTGATAGCAATACAAGACTATCGGTTTAGAGTGAATACGCACAAAGAATCCTAATAACCCCTTGCACAGAGATTGCTTTCCACGCTTATGAATCGTCATTCATCAATATGCCTTTGCAACCATGATCCCACCTTTGCACACAAACAACTCTAGCTAATAAACCAACCAAACAACCAGCGCCAGCGAATCAATATCAAACAGGAACTCGAACTATCCCGTGTGCTCGCACATGAACCAATACTGGTAGACGGAGTTTTGGGGATGGACATCATCTATCAGTTTGCACTAAACCTTGTAAAAATCGAGCATGACAGTATGACACCTAGGAAAAACCGCAACAATACAATTAATCAGACTCATGGCAAACGCTTATATATAAACAACATAAAACCACGGTAAATCATACAATAATAATCCACAACAGATCAGACAAATCAGACACACACACACACACACCACCACCACAATCAGATATTCAGATCAAGCAAATTAGTCATAATCACAATCCACGCGCAATCACGGGAGACCAGAAACATACAACATACCTATAATCAGATCGAGCAAAGCTATACCTAAGATCAAGAGAGGCTTTAAACGAAGCACAGGTAAAAATTTAAAAGAAAAACACACGAAGTGAAAACCGCGAGGCGTATGACGAACTTCCTAGCGCACACGCGACCGAATCGAGTGGGCTGGGCGTGACGGCGGCGCGGCGCGGCCGCCTCGACCGGCGCCGGATTTCCTCTGGCGCGCGCTGTGGATTAGGGAGGTGGAGTGGATCAGGACGGGGATGAGGAAGGCTGCGCGCGATGCGAGAGAGAGAGAGAGAGAGAGAGCGCTTTGCAGTGGCGAGTGGCTTCGGAAGAGGAAGCTTAAGGAGGAGGGTATTTAAACGGCGGGGGAGAGGGGGACGCGGTTTCCAGAGGATTCGGGTGACGTGGACGTCGCCTAGTGGGCCGCGGATGAGGTTAATCTCGGCCTTATCCTGCTCCCATTGGCAACAGCCTGTTGCGCATCCGGCCTACTCCTACGGAACAGGGATGAGGATTCGCTTTATTGTAAGGCCATTTCCAACCCAATAACTAATATGTTGTCTATAATACTCCCTTTGTTTTGAAATGTTTGTCACTGTTAACTTTTTAGAACATGTTTGACCGTTCGTCTTATTCAAAAACTTTTGTGAAATATGTAAAATTATATGCCTACATAAAAATATATTTAACAATAAATCAAATGATAGGAAAATAATTAATAATTACTTAAATTTTTTGAATAAGACGAACGGTCAAACATGTGCTAAAAAGTCAACGGCGTCAAACATTTCAAAACGGAGGGAATATTAAATAGACTGCCATCTAGTATAAAAAATAATGTGACAAGTAAATAAATGAGAAAAGAGAAAAAAACATGTCTTATATAAGACATAGTTTTTACACAACATCCAAGCAGTGACGGAGGACTCGGTATGGCGAGGCCATACCTCGCGCCGCCCGCTCGTACCAACACCCCCAACCTCCAACTCCGGCAGGCCGCTGACGGCAGTCAGGCGCAGAGGCGAAGTGCGGCGTCAGGCGATGGGCAAAGACAGAGCACTCGCTGCTGGGCCACTCTCCACTGAATCGTAGGCCCATTGGGCTCGTTTTGTGTTAATGTGGGCATATGTGGGTGATTCACTAGACTTAACCCTAGCCCAGAAATTCCCCATATCTCCGCCGCCGCGGCGGACGATGAGGCGACGACGGCGCGGCCGCTTGGAACTGCGGGAGGCATCCGCATCCAGCTCCCCGCATGAGATCAACAAGCGGCGACTGGGCACGAGAGCTGGTGTGCAGCGGCGCGGCTACGCGGCAGGGACACGCGCGTGGCAGGCGGCGAGCCAGCAGGCAGCAGGAGCGATGTGGGAGGCGGAAGGCAAGCAGCAGCAGCAAGGTAAGCTGAAGCAAGTGGCCTTCCTCCCGATTCAATCGTCCCTAATCAATCCTTGCTCTTCTTTTTTCAGATTCTATGCATATCTATCCTCTCCCTGATTCAATTGATTATTGCCTTGCTGAATATTGATACAATGTTGTGACGTACAGTATAGTGCGATTAGTATGTGTCCATGAGACATATCTCTTTTTTTTTCCTCCGCCACTGCATCCAAGATATTACGTGAGATAACTAACATTAAATTTAAGTATGTATAGTGATGTTTGAACTAACATTAAATTTAAATATGTATAGTGATGTTTGTATTGAAAAAAGTAGTGTCTAGTATGATGTAGAATTTATGAAAACTATATATAGGGTTGGGAATGGCCTACGGCTGTCGTACACGTCGCCGTGTATATATACTGCCATTGTTCATCCAAATCTCGGCCGGATTTGGCGGAATCAGAGTCTCCGCCACGACGCTACACGTATCCCCGGGACTCCACCGCCCACGTCCTGCGCTGCTTGCATCTCGCCCGTGCCGTGCCGTGTAACGCGATGCGATAAGCTTAGTAATAATGCACGCGTGCTGACCATCACCGAGGCGGATAGGCACGGATGGGACCGGTCGAGACTGTCGCTCGGGGAGGGGGGGGGGGGGGGGGGCCTTCCCCCAACCCCAAGTCCCCGTTTGGGGTTGGGCCATCGACGTGTCCGGCAGGGCGGGGGACGTGTAGACGAGCTAATGGCTATGGCGAACACTCAAGGTGATAACTAGGACATTTGGTCGTTCTATAATCCGGCGTGTTTGACTCGAACATCAATCATCCAGCCGTACTTGATAAGCTCTTCCATGAATATTTCACGCGCTGATGATTGCTCTACAGGAAACTACTGGTAGAACGCGAAATATTGTGATGCACAGGTCATGGCCAATTATTTGTGTATCATCAATAGGGGGTATGTACGTCTTTGATTCGCCGTTAGCCAATCGAGAGAAGCATAATGATGTGGCTGTTCTGAATTGCGTGGCGCGAGGGGGATCGGGCACCGGGATGGTGGTGTACGGCGTGACATCAACCGGTGGTCTCTCTGCCTCTGCGAGAGGGCGGCACGGCAGAGGGCAGCCGACAAATTGACGGTGATGAGGACAGGTGACGACGCCTCGATCGGTCCTTAGAATGATCCGCTATCGAGTAGAGTTAACGCCTCAGATGATTCCATGTTTGGGCTCAAATGGTCGCTGTCTAGCCTTTAAGGGCCCATTAGAATGTTGGAGTTCTCTTCATTTTAATTTTAGGTCTGGTTCAGTTCCCAAATTTTTTTTCTCAAAAACATCACATCGAATCTTTGGACACATGCATGGAGCATTAAATATAGATAAAAAAACTAAGGCAGCCAAAAACTAATTGCACAATTAGGGAGAAAATCGTGAGACGAATCTTTTGAGCCTAATTAGTCTATGATTAGCCATAAGTGCTACAGTAATCCACATGTGCTAATGACTGATTAATTAGGCTCAAAAGATTCGTCTCGTGGTTTCTAGACAAGTTATGAAATTAGTTTTTTTTCATTCGTGTTCGGAAGCCCTTCCGACATCCTGTCAAACATTCGATGTGACATTTTCGTGAACTAAACAAGCCCTTTTTTCTTTTAAATCACTAGAGGGGAGAGTTTCCTCATCTGAATTTTTCTTTGATAAAGAATACAAAGTGTTTTCAGCGTTTTACATTTACAGTGTGATCTAGTTGAGGGGATGGGAGAAGTCTTGTTTCCAAGCCGTGACAACATATCTTTATGAGGGATTTGCATCTCCCAAGCAATGGCTCTATTTAGTTCACACCAAACTTCCAACTTTCCATCACATCACATCACATTCAAAATTTTCCTACTCACATAAACTTCTAATTTTTTCCAAACTACTAACTTTCACTAAATTTCTCCCCAATTTCAGCAACTAAACACAGCCAAGTCGAAGTAGGCGTTGTACACATGGATGCTCATTTCGGGAAACCACCCCGGCGTTCGCTAAAAAAAAAAAGAAAGAAAAGAAAACCACCCCGCGTGCATGTGGTTCCAAAGCCCTAGAAGCACAGGAGGAAGAACGAGCAGTGGTGCGCCGTAGGTAGGCTCGCTGGCCCTGGCCGTGCTATGCTCTCCAAGTTTCTGACATCGTTGATGTCTGGATCAATGTCAATTGCCGGCCAGAATTGCGCTGCAAAGGAGCAAGTGAGGCTGAAATGACTAGCTGTTTCTTCATGTTTTCTCCATCAGATTATCCACCGTGAAAAAAAGAAGAGAAAATAGAAGGTTTGGCAGATTCAACAGAAGGCCATTTTAGGCCGACAAAATGCAATGAGTAGAAGATTCCCTTCAATTAGGCCCACACAAGTGAGGAGGGCCCATGTTGCTTTCAGGCTGTGTTATCCATCCCTCCGTAGATTTCGGCCTTTCTCATAATTGTGGCGAGATCCTTCCGTTCATCATTTGAATACTTAATCGAAACGAAGATTTGGGGCTATTCAGATTATAGCCAAAATAAACATTTAGCAAGTTAAAAATATTATTAAAATTTTGATAAGATTTTTTATGTATTTATCAAAGTTTGACAATAAACTAAATGTTAACATTTTTTTATAACTTTACTTTAAAAAAATAGTATAGATGAAAATAACATCAATTTGAACTGCCCTTAGCCTTGGATTGATTGATCATCGTCCTTGTGTTTCCTATTGGCTACTACAGCCTACAGGATGTGGTTTTCATTTTTGCATTTGATTCTGCGTTCGGAGCTTTGGCCTTCGTCATCATCGTGTATATAGGAGTTTTTTTTAAATGAAATATATATAGGAGGTTGGTTCACCATACATCTCTTATGGTTGAAAATAATCCTATGATAGCACTCTATTCTATGTTTAAGTTTAGACTCTGTTCAAAGCGTTAACCTATCCTAAAATTAAGCTTTTTTAGTTAGCCGTTAGGCTTACGTGTCACAATTTGAGTAGAGTATTAAATAGAGACTGGTCTCACTGTAATTATTTTAAGAACATCCGAGCTTTTCTCGAATCATAAAAATGTGGGTAACAGCTGTGTTTTCTTGTCTGACTGACCTAATCCAGCCACAAGTTGCCGTTCTATACCACCTCGAGCAGCAGCAGCGTGTTATATCAGCCTGTTTGATCCGTTGCCATTTTGTATGTACGTCTGATCATATATCAAATTGTTTATGCATGGTCTGATGATCCCCCATTTATTTTTCTTTCCGAAAAGATTGACAGTCACAATTTCTCTCATCTCACTACGATAAACGTTTTCTCATTCGGTCAAAAGCGTTCATAGGGAGGTGGGGTGCCCGCTTGTAACTGGATGTATGTAAAATCGAAATTTTCACATGCACCACAATGACACATAAAAATTAATTTTTTAGGTGAGAGCGTTAGGACATCCGACTACAAAAGTTTTTTGGGGGAAAAAAGCTAAAAAAAGTTCACAAGAATTCCAAAAATGATAGCTCCCCAACAAAAAAGTTCTAGAAAATGCACGAAAAATCATCACCGCACCCGATGGTCAATGAAGCCCCAAACCGACCGATCCCGAGGCTACTGGCGGCAGATCCGCCTCTCTCTTGGATGTCGTGGATGAATCTGCCTTTTCCGTAGCCACATGTACTAGAGTGGTGATGAGCAGATATGATTGGGAGATGACAACACTCCACGCGGTCTTTAGAGATCTGCTTGTAAAATAGCATAAGGCCCTAGCTACGAGAATCTTGATTTTCACAGGACGAGCTCTTAATAGACCTACCTGTTTAGTTTTGTTTTTACATACGAGCCTGAAGAGCCTATACATTTTCACATATAGTTTTCTTTTTCGCCAAAAAAAAAAAGAGGTGCCTGTGAAAAATGGTGTTTTAGTAATGTCGGTTCCAGCCTTATTTGTGCATACGTTGACCACTGTAGTGCTGAAAGCCTGATACTAGCATTAGTCAAGGCTCCAAAGCTTAGATGTTAGCATCAGAACAAGAATTCGTAATGAGTTTTGGTGTAACAAAATTCACTTTACGGGCTTTAGACTTCTGGTGCACGCTTTTTTAATAACCGCACAGAAGCAGAATTAATATAATGGGACTTCTGGAAATAGACTGACCGACCGAATTCACGTCCTGAATTTTTTTAAAAAATAAACTTCTAGATCGTTCGGTCCATGCTTCCCACAATCCCACACACTGGATTTTTCACCTTAGTCCTTTTGAATAACTTATTCTATAAATAGTTTATAGAAAAACTTATTCTAGAAATGGACCAGTTCCGTGACACCAACGTCATTGACACAGTTATCCAACATAACAGCGCCAATGACGTTGGCGCCGTCCCCTTCGCCCTCCGGTGAAAGCCAAGTCACTAATGTGAAGGGGACGACACCAATATTGTTGTGTTGAGGATCTATTTGTAAATATTTGTACTATGGGTATTTCATTTAAAAAAACAAATTGGTCCTAAGCGCCAACATCATCCCTCTTCATATTAGTGACTTACCTTCCACCAAGGGGTTAGGGGGATGGCGCCAATATTATTGGCGCTGTCATGTTGGACCACGGCGCCAATAATATTGGCGTCGTAAAATATTAATTCTATAATAAGTTTTCTTAAAGGCCTATTTGAAGAATAAATTTTCTAAAAAGATCAAAAATGTGAAAAATGCATCAATCCTACACCCCTGCAAATAGTCATCCAGAAAGATACTACAAGGACAAATCAGTTCAGCTCAGGTGCCGTTTCCTACTGCTTCGGCAATTCTGCAGGTCATCCCAGAAGTGGGATAAAAAGCAGCGAATCATCAATCAACTATACAGTTGCTAATAACTTTCTGCCTGCTCAAAGTATAGTCAAAATGCCGTCATGCATGACCGAGCAGAGCAGCCAGCCACAGAGACTGCACTCATGCAGAGGCTTGGTATCAAGCCATATGGTGTGTTCGTTACTCCTACTACCAGCTTAATTTGATTCATCCGAGGGAGGTATCATTCGCCGGTGGCTAGTGACTACATTCCACGAACGGATGCTGGGGAAAATTTTCCACGACCCTCTTCGGCGTGTGGGGGCTAGCGCGAGCTCTCGTGCGTGATGTTTTCAGCGAGACGAGTGACTCGGATTCGAAGAAAGTGCAGCACTGCAGGCTCTCTTTTGCTCGCATTATTGGTTCGGTTATCCTGTTGAAGGAGATGACGGATCCATCCATATATGCGCGTGTTTGAGACTTCCTCCCTATTGATCGACAGGGGTGGTTAGAAAGCTAGGAGGAGAAGAAACGCATGGACCATATGCGTGGGTGT